AAAAAATCGAAGGACAACGTACACCAGTACCAGGTACTACAGCAGTGCAGTATGCACCAGCGCATTAGTGTAGGGTAGGCACCGCACCAAAGAGGCAGCAGAGGTGGCAGGCAGCCAGCAAAGGAAAAAACAAAAATAACAAGGAGCTCGAGGTATCGTCCAAGATCATCGTAGAGAGGGCATGGAGAACAAGAAAGAAAGAAAGGAGAGTGGGTAACACCCACTTGTGTCCATTTCCCTTTTTGAAAAGTCCAGCTATGGGACACCGAACGCCTCTGGCTTGCGACGAAGGCGGAGGTGAACGGTATAGAATGCGAGGGTGAGTGACCCAGGGAGCCATCATGGCCTCCACGCCTTTTCACTTTGCGGGCGTTCATCGCCCCTGGTAAGCGGGATGTCGAGGGCGGCTGACCTCGATAGATGTACTAGTTTTAGAGACGAGCCCCTTCTTCTATACGTTATATCTCGCCTTACAAACAAAAAACGGAGCGTTCCTCATGCCTGTCTTGCCCTACAACGACAACGACGGATCCATCAAGCCTATTGCTCGCCTTCGTTTCCCTACCTAGTTCTTGACTCGAATCTTCGCTGGCCGACGATTTGATTGCCTCTTCCCACTCAGCGCGGTGCGTGGGGGTCGAAAATGTCCAGCCTATTGTGTGAGTCGATACTTCTGTTCGACCAATCAGCGAACTACGGATGGATCAGCTGGCCGCTGGGATCAATGCAACTTTTCTAAATATCAATCTCGTGTCGAACCTTCTTCTGGCGTTTCTTTTTTTTTAAGTCTCTCGGCGGATCGAGACGTACGTATCACCCTGAAGTCTCTCTCATACAAACTGCGTGCCAGAGTACAACACGCTGTACTTTGAAAGGACGACGGGCAGTCAAAGCAATGATGGGCGAGAGGCAGCATAGAAACATCAACATTCTCCGCCCGGCCTGGGTAGTCTACATAGATGGACCAGACACAAGACCACACGCAGAGATCATCGGTCGGCCTGCGGATCCATCTCCATGCATCCCCGTTCTTAGTCATCCGAGATGATGGTTTTGCAGAAAGATCATCATCAGAAGCCACAATTTTCCCAAGATTTATCGAGGTGCCGTTCGATTTCACCGTGAATGACGCCATCCGCCAAACAAGGATCTTGGGTCGTGCCTTTTTTTTTCTTGAATTTCTGAAATTCTGCCACAGGTTTTTTTTACCAATCAGCGAACTGCGTGCCACAAATGTTTTTCTACCAACAGAAAAAAAGACAAACACCGCCCACATGTATGTCTCGTCTCCGCCAAACAAAGCAATGCCGCAAAACAAGGGGATGCGACTTGGCCTTGGGGTGGGACAGTCGGCGATCTCCGTGCATTTGTAGACTCTGTCGACCCTGTCGTCTCGACAAGGGGCACAGCCACAACCGGCAGACGCGACAACATGACGACGGGCGAGCACTTGTACAGCTTGCTGCGTGCATCGCCGGGAGGGAACGAGCAACCCAGAGATACAGCGCCCCCTCTCCGGGTATCGTTAGCCCCCGGTGAACTACGGTTCTTCTCAGGTCTGCCCAACAGCCTACTACCCAAGGGCTGCAAAGAACGGAATGCTACCTCCCCGTTCACCCCTATGCTACAATTGACGATAGCCACCGTGTGTGCAGCGGCACACAGCTCCACCAGCTACTTGTGCAAACGAAACAATACATGGGTCAACGAGAGGGTCCCCTCACTCACGCTTTCGCTGCGCGACTCTTCCAGCAGCAGTGCTCGCCCTGCGAGTCCCTCCCCACTCGAACGAATCATGCATCGAAGCGCGCAATGGTTGAAGATCGTGCATCGAAAACTGAGCAGCGGCGGTAGCAACAACAGCTCGGCATGGTAAAACCCTCGCCCGCAAAGCGAGTAAAACAATGACGACATTCCACGCCTGTGCCCTCTCGACGAAAACACTCCCTTCCCCCGCCCACATGTAGACTATCCTCGCTCCGTTTCAGTGTACTCGTTGGCTGACGAAAGTCTCAATCTGAAGGAGAGCACTCGAAAGCGATATAACGATTAAAACTCTTTATCTTAGGGTTGGAAGGACAGAATCCCCGAGCCTTCATGAATGGGAAATGAATGGGAGAAAATTGAAGTCAATACTGGACTCAAGCCATCGAACAAGCTAGGGAGGTGCAGATAGCAACGTAAGTCCGCAGGACGTAAGATACCACAGTCCTCTCCATCGCAACGGCGGGCTTGGTAGCCAGTGCAAGACCGGGTGATCATGTGTCAATGGGGAACTGCTTCTCGACAGGACACTTTCGAGCAACATCAGATGCTCCTTTTCGCAAGCAAAACGCCTGTTCTAGCTTGAACTGTCCTGGTGTGAAATATCAAGCTTGCAAAACAACAGGAAAAGTGGCATATAGGTCACTTGAGCATCGCCGCGATTCCCGCTTTGGGGTCGTTGACGTTAGGGTAGCTCTTCAGGGACACCTGCCGGAACACTTGCGCCAGCCTCTCTTTCGTCTCCTGGGCCTGTGCGGGGACCGAACACAAGAGGGTGCAAGATCGCGAAAACTAGAAAATCTTCTGCCTCAAGTGGAAGGAGGCATCTGGTCGTGGTGCATCATGAGGCTTGCGTTTCGTCTGCTGGGCCAGTGTGCCACTAAGAAGGTGCAATTTGAACACCATCAACAACACCACCGTAACTGCCAAAAATAAATTGACGGCAAAAAACACAACATCAACCACAACAACTCACGTCGGCGACGCCGGAGCCCATCTCCTGCAGACAGCGCCCGATGGCTGTGGCGTTGAGGATCATGTGGTTTGTCGACGCCACAATCTCGTCGCACACCTGCAAAACGAACGTAGAGGGACTTTCGTTTGGGAGCGACAAAAAACAAAAGCAGCCAATCTAGCCCGTTCGACAAGCAAAACGAAGAGAAAGTCGGACAAAATCAGGTTGCATGACCAAATACATACACGTTGCTGTGCCTACCTTCCATGGGTCCAGCACACAACGAGACGTGTGCAAGTAAAAAAACAACAACAACGGCACCACACGACACGACGTTAAGTTGCTTGATTCATCGTTTATAAGGCAGCCAGCGCTGTCCGGAATCAATGTTTTTCACGAACGAATACCGTATATGACACAAGATAACACACCCCCTCGACCAATTTTCAAAGCTCGATTACGCCATGACGAAGAGGATGCATACATAAAACAACACGTTTTCGGAAAGCTCTCGACGAGACAGCTTCAACGCCACCGTTTTCGGCTCTGTGGCTCTATCTGCTGTTGAGAAATCGGGATTTGAAATTCGGTCCAGGGGGTGTGCTATCTTGTGTCATTTACGGTATAGTCTATTATTGATACACGGCGAGTGAGCGTGGTGCGCGGTTTCGAGTACGGGTTGAACGATCGCCTACGCAAACACCAACGAACGACGACGGACCCGCTTGAACTCGGGCAGAACCACGAGCGAGGGGATACGGTAAAACGCGGCAAAAGCATGCAAACAAAAGCGAAAAATGACGGTGGCACATGATCGACTTCATAAGTCGCGAGAGAAGGGATTGCTGTACCCTTCTCGCGATAAAAATATCTCAGGCAGGAACCGCAGGAGGGGGTTCAACCCCCCTCCC